GGACAGGGGCAGGAAGAATATTCCAGGCATTAGGGAAGATCATGAGCAAAGACCCTGTGGTATAAGGGAGAAGGACAAGTCTGAGGCCAGAAAGAAAGCCAGAGGGGCTGGAACAGAGAAAGTGGAGGGGACGTGGGAAAAGATGAGGACGAGAAGCAGGCAGAAGCTAAGTTTTGTCCCTTGGGGCTTGATCAGGGGTTTGCTCTTTATTTCAGGAACACTGGGAAAACACTGAAAGGTCTTCAGCCCTGGGCACCTGAGGGTTATTGATCAGATTTGCATTTTTAAAGGCTCCCTTGGTTGCAGTAGGTGAGGGGGAGACAGATCAGGAGTCCATTGCAAGATATTGACCTGACAGCCACATGGACGAGGACCAACATTTGAACTGAAAGCCAAGGCGTTCAGGGTCCTTCCAAGAAGAAGATTATCTAGAATGGAAAAGAATCGGGTCTCATGCATAGTACTCAGGTGAGCTGGTGAGCAATTGTGATGCCATTTGCAAAGACCTCACCCACCTGCACCGTTTCAGGCAGGGAGACCAACTTGTTGTCCCAGTTTTCCCAAGACCTTAGCACTGAAAGTCCCAAGTCAGGGAAAACTCCTCTTGCTATCCCGGGCAAACTGGATGGTTGTCACCCTAATTTCAGACCAGGTCTGCAGTATTAATCAGGATATAGCTGCACCTTGCTCTACTCAGCGTTTCATTAGAATATGCCAGGGGACCCTCATGAGCTGAACTTGAGATTCTTGCCTTTATTGTGCCCTGTGATAGGTCTTGAAATCCGTTGTCTTTGCAGTGACTAGGATAAGTAGAATTATGAGCAAGATGCAGTATTACCAATAGGCTTTTCTATAAACTGGGAATAGGATGCTTGAATTAGTCAAATACTCCAAATAATATTTATATCATGTTTATAAAGGAATCCTGCATGTTGAAGTATTCTATTATATTACAATAAAAATCTCACTTTTAAAATTTTTCTAAATATACTTGGCAAGCTTTATGGTTATGTACTTGAGCTGGAATGCCAGACTGCCTAGGTTCAAATTCTGGCTTGATAACCTCGGGTTTGTCTTGACCTGTCTGTGTCTTCATTTCCTCGTATGTAAAATATAGAGAATAATAACATTTACTTCTTAGGATTGTGATGACAGAAGCCACATAAAGTGCCGGGCATTATGCCTGCCATACACTAAGCACTCCATAAATGCCACCTCTTGGTATGGGTCAAGGCACCTTAACTAGAGAATCGTATGGAATCGATTATACTAGAACTTTGCTGTCTAGTAGTCACTCCCCACACGCGGTTAGTGAGAACTCGAAAGTCCGAACTGAAATGTGCTATGCTTTACAAACACTCTTTGAAGATTTATTAAGAGAAAAAGAA